CCCCCACCCCCTCCCGCCGCCGCGCGCCGCCCGTGACGTCAGAGCCCCCTCCCAGCCCAGCTTCTCCTCCTCCTCCCCTCCGTCGGTCAGTCAGTCCGCGAGCAGAGTCCGCGGTGGCGGTGGCAGGAGCCGGAGCCGCGGGGGCTGTAGGAAGCCAACCTTCCCTGCTTCCCCGGGACTCTATCCTCCTCCTTCCCACAAAACCAGGGATGGAGGCGCCTCCCCGACACCCCTTCAGCAGCCCTTCCCAGGAAAAGTGTCCCCCCTGAGCTCCTCCCTCTCCCCAAGCAGCTACCCCCGCCCCCCCCACGCCATGGGGCCGGGGGCTCCCTCTCCCCGGATGGGGTGGCCGCTGCCGCTTCTGGTGGTGATGGCGGCAGGGGTGGCTCCAGTGTGGGCCTCCCACTCCCCCCATCTCCCGCGGCCTCACCCGCGGGTCCCCCCGCACCCCTCCTCAGAACGGCGCGCAGTGTACATCGGGGCGCTGTTTCCCATGAGCGGGGGCTGGCCAGGGGGCCAGGCCTGCCAGCCGGCGGTGGAGATGGCGCTGGAGGACGTGAATAGCCGCAGGGACATCCTGCCGGACTATGAGCTCAAGCTCATCCACCACGACAGCAAGGTAGCCCCGGACTTGGGAGTGGGTGGGAGGTAGGGGCTTGGGGGGCAGGGGGCCAGCCAGCTGCGTGCCTCAATCTGAGTCGCCTCTGGGAGTGCAAGGCAGACCCCTCCCATGTGACTAGCAGGAGATGGGCTGCAGGAGCTTGGGGCGAGTCGCAGGGGCTGAAGGTTCAAGATGAGGGTCTAGGGGTTCAAGATGGTTAATCACGTTGCAAGACAGACCTTTCTGCCCCGCTGCGGGAGACTCATGCAAGTGCTGGGGGGTGGGTTTAAGGTTTAACCGATCCTGATCCCCCTGGGGAGTAAACTAACCCTGGAATGGGTTGGAAGGTAGAGAGAATGTCAGAGGTGGGGAGCTGGATAGGGGTTTACATTTACCATGGCAACAAGGTAAATCTTGGCGTAGGTTGGGGCTGCAAGGAGTAGGGACAGAAGGAGGAAAATGTTGACTTGAGAGCTCTAGTTTATTTATCACAACAAACAGCAAGGTAGCTGAGAGCCCTACGCGACTCCTTCTCATTCCTCTGTCCCCAGCCCTGTTGGAGATTCCTGGACTGTGAGAATATATGGCATACAGTGGTTGGGGAAGACTAATGATCAAGATGAGGGCAGGGGCATTAAAAATTAATTGGGTTAGGGGTCCACAAAGAAGCTCCCCCACAATGGCGTGGGGATGGAGAGGAGTCAGGATACAGGGAGAAGAAAGAGAACAGGAAAGAATGGCAGAGGGGTAGGTGGCAAAGAGCGAAGGTGTGGATAGTGAGAGATCCTGAGGCGTCCTGTGGAACTTGGGTCCAGACTTTACCTTCCCTTATAGCATTGGCCTCTGGGATGTGAGAAGGGAAATGGGATGTAGAGTTAGGAAGGTGAAAGGTGGGAGAGGGGAAAGGTAAGACAGTTTGGGTCCAGGGGTATTAGGGGATGGTTTATAATAAGATTCCTTTCGTGCCCCTTTCCCTTACATGAATAATTGCTGGTGTGGGGAAGAATGTGACACAGGGAAGGAAGGAGATTTGAGACCTCCTCAATTTATCTTTGACATACGGCCCCAGAGACTTAAGGGATTGGGTTAGGGTGTAATAGAGTACAGGAGGTGACAATTTGGTGATCTTACACCTGGGGTGGACAGGGGATTTATATTCATTCTTTAGAACATCAATATACACCTAGAAATAGGTATGTCAGGGGGAAGGGGACAGAAGTGGGATTGAAGGTAGGGTGCTTGGGGAGAAGTAATCACAAGGATTGTTAGGAGCTTGGAGAGAACTTCAAATCCCTTCTGACTGTTACCTTCTCAGTGGTTCTCAAACTTCAGTGTACATAAGAATTGCCAGAGGAGTTTGTTAAAAATACAGATTCTAATTCCTTGGTCTGCATTTTTGGCAGTAGAAATTCTGCCCTCGTGGCTGCCTGAGCTGTAGCTAACCCCAGTATGCCTATGGGAAGAGCTGCAGGGTACAGGAAAAGAATTAGGTTTTAGGGTAGGGGTGGCAGGAGGAGAAATAGAGGGTCAGATCCGGTGGAGGGGTCAAGCTTGAGACAGTGAGAGAGATCATTAGCTGTGGGGGGTGGGAATGTGGGGAGAGAAATAGGGAGGGATGGGGGCAGGCTTTATGACAGGGGATCACAGGGAGATAGGAGAGGTCTGGCTGTGAGCTCAAACTCATCCATCATGACAGGTGATTCCCTGGAGGTGTTGGGGAGCAGATGGGGGCCCTGAGGAAAGGGAGCTGGAAGACAAGATAGCAGAGGCACCAAGGGGGTGGGGTGGGAAGGCAGAGGAACTGGAATGTGTTTGTTTCCTGTCTGCAAATGCAGAGCTTTGAGAAAGCAAAGAAGAGGGAGAACAGAGGAAGTCTATAGGGGAGGGGGTGAGAGCCACATGGTGGAGAAAATCTTCAGTGATGAATAAGGTGTGGAAGGGGGAAAAGTAGAGAAGAAATGAGGAAACAAAAGAGGAGGCATTGGTCAGCGTGTGTTGCCCTGTTTTGTATGTACCTTATATGTTCTTGCGTGTCCTCATTGTTCCTTTTAACTTTTTCTTCAGACAAGAAGTGGAGGGTCAGCTGGGGGCAGGATCTGGAATCATAGATGCTAGGAGAGTGCAGGAAGGTGGGACCTGAGAGTGGTAAAGATATACAAAGATACCCAAGTGGAAGACTTGAAGAGAAAACGTTCAAAACATTGTTGAGCACTGTCCTTTGCAGGGGCTGGGGGGTGGGGGTGTGGTTGGGGGTTGGGCAGCAGAGGGTGCTGGGTGAGTGTTGATTCTTCAGATTCCGTCAGCTTCCCCTGGTTTCCCCTTCTCCAACTTCCCACAGTGTCCCAAATGTCAGGCTCAGTGGGAAGTGAGCAGGCTCCAGGGGGCCTTCTTTATTTCCTTTCTACCTGCCCCTGACCATATCACCCCCCTCTCTAGTCCCCTGTGCCTCCTGTCTGTATCTCCTCTGCCTTGGCTCCCCACTGGCTGCCATTTCTTTTCCACTTCCTTTGGGGCTCCAGCAGCTTCTGAAATGTCATATATCAGCAGGAGGGGAACAGGCAGTGGGACACCCAGGGCTGGCTCTTCCTCTCCTCCTTGTTTCCCCTCCTCCCACCCTTCCTTTCCTGTCTGCATTGTTTACTTTCCCCAGCTCTGAGTCTCTCTTTCAGGCACCTTTAAAATTATCGAATTTCTTGCTTCTTATTTATTCTCCTGGGTTCTTTCCTCATCTTAGATTTTTCCCCACTTCCACCCCTAGTGCCTTTTTTTTCTAATGAATTTATCAAATGTCAGCACCCAGCAGGAGGGGATGGATCGCTGAGTGGGACCCCCTAGTGGTCTTATTCCTCTTCTCTCTTGTTTACTTATCACTAGCCCAGAAAAGAGAAGAGGGAGGGAAAAATGGAAGGTGGGGAGAGGGAGTTTGCAGAGGTAAGGGTGGAATTTTCATAATATGGCTTTGAGTGAGCTGTCTGGGGACATGGGGAGAGTTTATTTGTATTCCTGCAGATTCTGTTCTACCCGTAGATGTTTGGAGCATAGAAATGTGGGGTAAGGGGCAGAGGAGACAGAGGGAAAGCCGGGCTTTGGGGTGTTTGAGGATGAGCTGAGAAGAGGGCAGGTGGTATACGCATTAACATCAAAGAAGGGCTGTGCAGAAGAGAATATGGATGAGGCACCAGATGGAAGACAGAGAAGGGAGTTTAATGAAAGAGGAGACAAGGAATTTGACAGGAAGAAGAAAATGGTAACAATGATGAACATGAGTAATTGAGAAAGGATGTGTTTGTCCAAAAAAGATAAAAGAGTAAGAGTTGCAGGGAGGGGGTGCTTAAGAGAGTCTGCCCTCATTCCCCACCCCCCATTCAGTGTGACCCAGGCCAAGCTACCAAGTACCTGTATGAGCTGCTCTACAACGACCCTATCAAGATCATCCTTATGCCTGGCTGCAGCTCCGTCTCCACGCTTGTGGCTGAGGCTGCGAGGATGTGGAACCTCATTGTGGTAAGCAGGGCTGGGAGCCAGAAGGGGGTCAGTCCCCTTTGGGCTGTACTAAAGCGGGGGCGGGGAGGGGGAGATTGCGGGTTTGTATTTAAGAGGACAGTGGAGGACCCACTTCCAAGATTGAGAGTCCTCTGCAGACCCGAGCTAGTGGCCTCCTAGCAACAGGGGCCTGACAGTGCTGCAGCTGACCTCGTTCTTCAGAAGGAGCTGAAGTGAGATCAGTGAAAGAACATCTTGATTGTGAGGGGGTGTGTGAGTCTTTGAGAATCACTTTTCCTAGGGCATAGGTGGGAAGGTTTGGAGAGAGTGGGGGAGAGAAACCCCGAGGTAGGGAGAGGGTTAATGGAACTCTTGGCCACGCTTAGTGGATCCACTTACCTAACCCCTTTCCTCTTAGCTTTCCTACGGCTCCAGCTCTCCAGCCCTGTCAAACCGGCAGCGTTTTCCAACGTTCTTCCGAACACATCCATCAGCCACACTCCACAACCCTACCCGTGTGAAACTCTTTGAAAAGTGGGGCTGGAAGAAGATTGCCACCATCCAGCAGACCACTGAGGTCTTCACTTCGGTGAGGAGAGACTGGGTATAGGGCAAAGGGTGCAACTGTTTAAGCTCCTGTAGAGAGAGATGTGACCCAGGATTTATTCTGGGCAGGGGTGGTGCGGTGGGGGGCGGGATTTTGATTCTTTGTCAAAAGAAAACACATTCCAAATGGGTTAAGTGCATGTTCTTTCTGTAGCCAGGGGAATGAATGAGTTAAGTTTTTGGAATCCTCTCCATCTTTTTGATTTTATGATTTTTTTTCCCTTTTGATATTTTGTTCCCCAGACAGATAGACCAAAATGACTCAGTTCTGTTAAAGAAGGTTCAATCCAAAGTTGAGGCAAGAAAAGAGTGGGGATATGAAATAGGAACCCAGAAAGGTAGCAGATTCCAGAGGTGCTTCAGGGGGGTGGTGGGTGGGTGTGAATGGGAACAGAGGGGATTGGAGCTCCTGGATATGGGGGCAGAGAGGGAAAGGAGAGAAAGTGAAAGAGAAAGGTGGGGGAAGGGAGAGAAAGAGGGAGAGCAGAGAGAGGGGACAGGCAGGCAGAGGGGAAAGAGAGGCAGACAGACAAGTAATGGGTCTGGTAGTTGATGCTGAGAGAGATGCTGATGGACAAGGAGAGACTGGAGGGGGAGAAGGAGATTTATGGAGGCAGAGAGGAAATATGTGGCTGTCCATTGAAGAAGGTGGTCTGCTTCCTCCCTTTTGTTCTACCCGTTGGGTCCTCTATCCACTCTTATATTATGTGGCCCTTAAATCCTCCCCCCCCCCACTTTCTCTCAGTGATTCAGGCCGTTCTTCTCTTATCCTTTTGTCTGTCTGACAACTTGCCTCGTGAGGTTGACATCATCCTATCATACTAGACTTTGCCTTGTCTTTTCCTATTTTCTCTGTTTTCCTTTCCCCCATTTCTGCAGTCATTGGTAGGAGAGGGGTGAATGGGGTGGCTTTCCCAGACACAGACCCTCAGGAGGGGCTCACCCTGCAGCTTCCCACTTGGAAGCCATATCCTAAGATTTCAGATGCTTCGCTTTTTTTTTTTTCCTTTTTGTCTTTTTTACTGACCAGTAATGGGATCGCAACCCTCGGTGTTGCGCCCGCACCGCGCTCAGCCAGTGAGTGGGAACCGGTCTCCACATGGGATCCGAACCCTCGGTGGGAGCGCTGCCGTGCTCCCAAGCGGCGCACGCCACCGGGCCGGCCCAGATGCTTTGCTTTAAACTCTCCCCAGCTTGGGGACGGGAGATGTTGAGGGATGGTTCAGAACAGCTGCTCCTTTTCTCTGAGGATGCAATCCCCAGTTAGCACCTCTGATCCTTACTCCATCGTGTGCTGCACATTTTTCCTATTTGTTTCTCATTCCCACCCAAGACTCTGGATGACCTAGAGGAACGAGTGAAGGAGGCTGGAATCGAGATTACTTTCCGTCAGAGTTTCTTTTCAGATCCAGCTGTACCCGTCAAAAACCTTAAGGTAGGATGGTTGGGAGTGGTGGGCTCAGCCTGCAGAGGGACCGGGCAGGCTGGGGGTGGAGGGAACAGTGGTTGGTTGGAGAGGAGAGTCAGGTGGGCGCAGGCTTGATCCTGTGAGTCAGTAGCATCTCCTGGGGAAGTTTAGCTCCATCTTCCAGTTGACATTTATCCACTACTCATTGAACATCACCCTGCACTAAGCACTTTGGGATGGGAAATCAAAGCCACAAAAGCCCCCCGGCTTAGCCCCTCAGGTGTTTCCAGGTGGCCTTCAGGAGCTCTGTTTCTTTTTCCATTCTGTAGCGCCAGGATGCCCGAATCATCGTGGGACTTTTCTATGAGACTGAAGCCCGGAAAGTTTTTTGTGAGGTGGAGTTGGAATCTGAAGGGGGTGGGGACTGGGTGGGTTCTCTGCCTTGGTTTTCTCCTGGGGTCTCCTCTCTGCAGCTCTGCTCAAGTTGATAGCAAGTGATCTGAGGTGATTGTTAATATGGCGTTCCTATCTGGTGGCTCTGACTCCATCCCTTGTCTGTGTGCGTGTGTGTGCGTGTGTGTGTGTGTGTGTGTGTGTGTGCACGATACTTTCTCCAGATCTCATTTTCCTATCACTTTTCATTTCCTGAGGAGCCCATGAATCCCATCCTTCCTGACTGGCTGGAAAAGGCCACTCAGAAATAGATGGACTGAGAGGAACTTAGAAGAAGGAGTTGTTTGAGCCTTTCCTACCCGTCCTGAGACTTGTACATTTCTCTTTTAAATTCTGCTGCTTTTCTCTGATTCCCAAGAGGCTGAATAGTGTCAAGTAAGATGAGATAAAAAACCCAAACAAGTCCCAGCCCTCCTTCTCTGCATTCAGGTGTATAAGGAGCGTCTCTTTGGGAAGAAGTATGTCTGGTTCCTTATTGGGTGGTATGCCGACAACTGGTTCAAGACCTATGACCCGTCCATCAACTGCACAGTGGACGAGATGACTGAGGCGGTGGAGGGCCACATCACCACTGAGATTGTCATGCTGAATCCTGCCAACACCCGCAGCATCTCCAACATGGTGAGAGTGTGGGGACATAGAGGCTTGCACACGGGAGGACGAGGGGACCGAGGGAGCCTTGTGGGGGAGGGGAGAGGGTGTGGCATTTGGACATACAGGAGGGGAAGGGGCCTGTGTCCACCCTGAACTTGTTTGCATCATGTTTCCTGTGGCTTCTACCTCTGCTGTGACTTCTTTGGGCAGGACAAAGAGAGAAATGATAGAGTGGTATGTTCAGTAGGCCCTTGATGAGTGGAAGGGCTGTTACCATGGAAACGAGGAGCAGTTGGTGAGAAGTCAAATGAGGGAGAGACGTTAATGGTCACGTGGATGCTTGTATCTTTGGGCAGGACAAAGAGAGAAATGATAGAGTGGTATGTTCAGTAGGCCCTTGATGAGTGGAAGGGCTGTTACCATGGAAACAAGGAGCAGTTGGTGAGAAGTCAAATGAGGGAGAGACGTTAATGGTCACGTGGATGCTTGTATGTGCAAGCACACCTGGAGACTTACCTTAGTTCTTCAGACTTGCTTAATATTCACTCATGATTGATATGCAATTAGCTTGGATCCTGATGCCTTTTTTAAGGATTCTTTTTTTAGAATTTTAGATGTAAAAGAGACTTTTGACATCATTTAGCTTCACATAGCTGGTTAGTGACAGACTTGGAGCTAGAAGGCACATTCTCTGATTGGGGAGGACTGGGACAGCCCTGAAGGTGAGCGGCACAAGGGAGTGTGGGTGTGGGGAGAAGAGGTTCCTTTCCTGCTCAGTGCTACATCCTACAGTACAGATATCTTGGGTGAGCTTTTTAGAATAACCTATGTGTCTGCTTATTATACCAAGTGCAGCCCCCAGGTCTGGAATGCCTGCTTTGGAGAGCATGCTAGGCATGAGTTAATGGTTGTAAAGCCCCCAAATAGCTTATTGAAAAAAGTTTTAGTGACAGTTGCTTTTATGTGGTAAACCAGGAGCTTAGATACATGATTTCAGTGATCCTCACAGCAGTACTCTGATGCAGATTTATCATTTACATTTTACAACCAGGAAATTGAGGCTCAGAGAGGTTTAGTGACTTGTCCCAGGTCATGCAGCTACTGAGTGGTCCAGCTGGAATTGAATCCTAGTTAAATCTAACTCTAAACCGTGTGCCTCCTTACTTTCCATGGAAAACCATGAATCCTGACTAAAAAGTTTGTACTTTCATCTGCTAACACTGTTTAGCTGATGGCAGTTTCTGAGCAAGGGAGATATAAGATTCAGGAAATTGGTTCTGGCAGTGGATTGTGATGAAGGGTCAGTTGCCATGTGGACTCTGACCATAGACTCTGTCCTGGGACATTCTAAGATGACTCTATGTTTAAGGTATCTTAGTTGAAAAATATAATGAAAAAATTCTGGAAGGTCACTTACCTGTGGAGTACCTGAGAGGTGAGTCATCCTCAAGCAGCTGGGGAAGTGGTGGAGCTGGTTACCAAAGCTGGAAAGGCTTGTTGGTGCCCAGGACATGCCAATCATGGCTTTTGTCCCATAATAGAAAGGTGGAGTAGCCTGGTCACAAGCAGGGGATTGGTTAGGGATGTAGAGGGACACCTGGGCTTTGGCGCAGGTTGAGTTGATGGTGCTCTTTCTGGTTCTTGTTCTCTAGAGAAAGATGATGCTTGCCGTTTAGGCCATAGGGCTCCTAGTGCCACCGGCTTAAAATGCCAGGTGGAGAAGCCAAGATTTTCTAATAGAGGACAGAAGCAGCCTTAACAACTGACTAGGGAAGAGATTATAGATGAATCACACAGCATCAAAAGAGTGGATCAGAAGGAAGGACTGGACTAGGGGTCCAGAGCCATGGAAACTTAGAAAAGAAACAGAGTTGCCTTAACTCCACAAGGATGGACTTAAGTGTTGACTAGAAGTTCTCAAACTTTAGCTTCCATCAGAACCACATGGAAAGTTAGTTAGCACACAGATTACTGGGACCTTCCCTGGAAGTTCTGATTCAGTAGACCTGGGGTAGGCTGAGAATTTACATTTCTAGCAAGTTTCTGGGGATATTGATGCTACTGGTCTGGGGATGACACTTTGCGAACTATTAGTTAGGGCAGTGGTTTTCAACCAGAGATTGCAATGTCTGGAGACAATTTTGGTTGTCACAACTGAGGGTGGGGATTAGGGGGAGGGACAGATGCTCCTGGTATCCTCATGGGTAGAGACTAAACGTGCTTCTAAATGTTCTGTGATACACAGGACAGCCCTTAACAATAAAGAGCTATCCTGCCCAAAATGTCAATAGTGCAAAGATTGATAAATCCTGGTTTAGAGAAAGAATCTTTAGGGGCCATACATAGAAATGGAGAATGAGTTAGAATGGTTTTGAAGAAATATAGCTATGGGCTAAACGGGATTGTGGAGGTGGCATACCTAGAGATAAGACTGTGAGTAAATCCTGATTGGGGTAGAGAGCCCATCAGATCTGGGTACGATACAGACTTAAAAACTACCTCTGGAAACACATTTAGGTCACTGCCAAGCATCAATTCTCACATATAGAGATAGCCAGACAGAGCTGTTAAAAAAATTAGAATCATAAATTTGTGCTTGGTTAATTCACTAATTTCTATGGATTGTGAAATTTTTACTGTTGTTCAGTTTTCCTTAAGCTGCATAGTAAAATTTCTCTTTGAAAATTTATAGCCATATCTTTGTTGACTAAAGGGGGAAAGATTGTTTTTTCATAACTTCAGTCATGGTGGGGTGGGGTGGGGGGAGGAGGGGAGCAAGTGGTGCCCCCAATGGCCAGCCGTGTTAGTGGTAGTGAGTGACCTGGAGCAAGCAGAGAGTGTGATCAGGGGATGGCATCATGCTGAACAGATTAATCCCATCCTATCTGGGTGATTTTCTGCTGCAGTATTTACTTTGAACTGATGGTTGGATAGACCTGTAAGCCAAAGGATTACTCAGAAAGTCTCAGCCTGGCTGCTGTCTGTGAGCAGGTGCTCTTGGAGAGAGGCATTTCAGTGTACAGATGCAGTATAGGGTAGTTGGTAAGGGTATGGACTTTAGGGCCAGACTGCCTGGGTTTGAATCCCAGCTCAGTCACTCGCTGGTAGTATAACTTTAAGCAAGTTACATAACTTTTCTGTGCCTCAGTTTTTAAATCTGTAAATGGGGAAAATAATATTAACTGCATCACTGGATTGTCTGAGGATTAAATAAGTTGATATATGTACTTTAGAAAAGTACCTGACACATAGTGAGCTTGGAGAAAATTATGTTAAGTGAAGTAATCCAGGCACACAAAGAGAAATACCACATGTCCTTACTCATAAGTGGGAGCTAAACAACAAACAAAAAAGAAAGACCATAATAAAACGTTGAACTTTCAGGAGAGAACAGACCTATAATTATTAGAGGTGGGAGAGGAGGAGGAGGAGGCTGATAGGAAGTAATTGGGTAAGAGACACAAAAAGAAATTATGATTTGTAATGATGAACATGCTAATAATATTGATTTGATCATCACATACTGTACGCAAATACTGATAGTCAATTCTGTACCCCATAAATATATATATAAATAAATTTTTTTTTTTAAAATTGAAAGAAGAAAAACAAAATAAAATAATTTATCATTTTAAAATAAAATAAATTATAGGGAAAAAAAAGATGGCAAGAAGTTAGCACTAAAGGAAAATCTTCCTGGTTGACAGGCAGAGTGGGAAAGCCTGTGGAATCACCTTTTCTAGGATCTTCTAGATTTGGTGGAGCCATTAGATTCCAGGCCAACTCTATTGGGAAAATCTGAAGGATGAGAAAACATCAGCGTTGCGTCTCTTCATTGGAATATATGTGTCTCGTTGCTCTGCCTCTACTTTCTGCCATTTGCCATTCATTCTCCAGGGTGTTTATTCAGACTTCTGTTTGTAGTTCTGAGCTAGCAGCTGTATGCGCTAAGACCGCTGGACCCAGCTAATCTCTGCTCTAGTCTAGTAGCTTCCGATCTAAGACAGACACATGGGTATAGTTAAAGATTTTGAATGTACATATGCTCAATCTGGCAACATGAATACAAACCATCCATCCACGGTTGAAGTGTTTGAGCCAGAATTGGGTCCACCTTCCCCCTGCATCCACACACATTCCAGTCCTTTTCTCATGTTTTTCCCCTCCTCAGACATCCCAGGAATTTGTGGAGAAACTTACCAAACGACTAAAAAGACACCCCGAGGAGACAGGAGGCTTTCAGGAGGCACCACTGGCCTACGATGCCATCTGGGCCTTGGCATTAGCCCTAAACAAGACATCTGGAGGGGGTGGCCGTTCCGGTGTGCGCCTGGAGGACTTCAACTACAACAACCAGACCATCACTGACCAAATCTACCGGGCAATGAACTCCTCATCCTTTGAGGGTGTCTCCGTGAGTTATGGCAAATTCTTTCACACTACCCTGTCCTCCCATTGAGATACCCCCTCAGAGGTCCCTCTCCTAGAATCATGCCTTCTTCATCTTTCTCAGTCATTTCTCTGCAATAATCGGCCTCAGACCAGGGCAGCAGGGATCCCCAGACCAGAAGAGCCCACAAAAGACTGGAAGGAACAACATGGCGTAGTCCATTTTTTTTAACCTCTTTTTTCATTTCTTTTCAAATCAGTCTAGGTATTTATGAATCAGATAAGAACTGTAGGATTTTAAAAGAGGAAACAGTCTGAAAGATCATCTCCTTATTCCTTTTAAAGTGAGAAAATTAGTGACCAGAGGGATTTGGTGACTGGCTCAGGCCACACAGGCAGAAGTCATGTCTCCAGGTGCTCTGTCTGGGGATTTTTCCCATTCAAATCTCATGGGTGAAGCTTCTTCTCAAAAGAATAATTTTAACCTCTTTTTTCATTTCTTTTCAAATCAGTCTAGGTATTTATGAATCAGATAAGAACTGTAGGATTTTAAAAGAGGAAACAGTCTGAAAGATCATCTCCTTATTCCTTTTAAAGTGAGAAAATTAGTGACCAGAGGGATTTGGTGACTGGCTCAGGCCACACAGGCAGAAGTCATGTCTCCAGGTGCTCTGTCTGGGGATTTTTCCCATTCAAATCTCATGGATGAAGCTTCTTCTCAAAAGAATAATGTTGCTAAAATCTAGGGTATGGGCATCTGGGGTATGTCCTATATACAGGCAAATACCATAAATAGCATTCATTCAGAAGCTCAAATACATCAAAAACAGAAGGATGAGTTCCTGATGTTCTCTTTTTGTTCCTGCTTTTGTCCCCTTTGTCTTCCTCTCCATGTTTCTCTCCCCAGGGCCATGTAGTGTTTGATGCCAGCGGCTCTCGGATGGCATGGACGCTCATCGAGCAGCTACAGGGTGAGCACAGGGGCAGGAGGGCACCCGGGAAGAGAACACTGGAGACATCAAAGATTGCCTTGATGCTTCTCTCCTCCTGCCTTTCTCTTTTAACTGTGTTCATCAAGCCTTTAAATAATAAAAAGCTTAAATATGGGTGGGTCTGTCTGATTTGCAGTGGTTGTGTTCTTGAAAAGGAGCATGCAATTTAAAAATAGCCCTTCTCTTTCCCATTGGCTTCCATTTTAATTTCAGAAATTTTCCTTCATTGGCTTGGGTTGAGGGGTTAATGACTTGTCAGTGCATACTCAGAGACTCAAGGAAAGCTGAATCTAAGAAATCTTCTATTTTTTAAAGGGAATTCATTGAATTTCCTTGCAATGTAAACTATCATTCCTAATTTATCTGTAGTATGTATAGTTTAGCTTTTCTGGATTATGTTTTCTTAAATCTTATAATTTAGCACACTTGCGTATTTGCAACATTTCTATGAATTATTTTTTAACTCCACCCTCTTCTCAGCCTCTTATGTCATGGCCAAGAGACCCATTTCTTGGCCTCCTGTGAAAAGTTTCTTTCTTCCCTTCTCCCCACCTCCCACTTCCTATTAGCTCATTTTTGTATTCAGGACAAGAGGGAATGGACTTCAGCCATGGTGAAAGGCATGTGAATTGGCTTTTGAAGGAAAAGTTATGGTAACTGGGACAGTTCTAGAACAAAAATCTTTGGAGTGATTGAATTTCACTTAGTGGCTCTTTAAGAGGCAGATGTAATGTATCCAAGGAACCAGAACCCAACCAACGGAAAAGGAATTTCTAAAATTAAAATGAAAGCCACTGGGAAAATAGATCCTGTGATTCTGTCCATCATGAGAGGGAGGATATGAAGAAATATGTTTGAAAAGCTTTAGAAGCCAGAATCAAAGTGAGAGACATCTCACCAAGAGAGGTGTGAGGCAGTGAAATAGGTGGCAGACATGTGGAGCCTTCCTCACGGAAGAGGTTTAAACATTCAAGATATTCTTATTTATTTGAGTTGCCTTGGGAACCACCTTATATTGCTTTTAAGACAAGTCACTGATTCAAGTGACCCCTAGTTTTTTCCAGGCATCCTTTAGGGGCTCAGATGAAGGTGTAAAATCAGATGCAACCATGGAAGGCAGCTTTAGGGAGGTGGGCAGCTGAAAATGCCTGGGATCATCTCTTCAGCCACCCGTGGTTGCTCCTGTTGTCATTTGTCCAGGTGGCAGCTATAAGAAGATTGGCTACTATGACAGCACCAAGGATGATCTTTCCTGGTCCAAAACAGATAAGTGGATTGGTAAGTGGATCTTGTTTATATTTTCCTTCAGCGCCTCTGAACAATCAAGGAAAAGAGTCATACATTTGAATGAGGGTGGATTGGTGGGTGCCATTAGGTTGAAATGTGGGAGCGAGGTGGTCCAGGGGCAGGAGTTAAGAGAGAGTGGATACAACCTCACAAGATGTGGGTAGGAGAGACTGGTGTATCTGGAGAGGGAATAGGAGGTGGGTAGTACTATTTTTAATAGTACACTGCTGTGGTAACTGGGGATTAGAGGCAGGGGGTGGGCAGGGGGTGGGAAGTGGAAACTCCATTTGGGTTTCCCAGATGTCCTGGTGCCTTGATATATCCGAACCAGCTACTTCAAGCCTAGAACTGCCTCTTTGTCTGTTTTTGTCAGTAAAACGATTGCTTAAACTATACGTACACTTTTTGTATCTGCAAAACCTCACCTAATTGTAGTCTGATAAAATTGTGTGTTTTAAAGAAGTAAAATAAGCAGTTATTCTTTGTGTACTTGGTGGGCTAGATGATAGGAAATGGGAAAGATACCAAAGGTGGGCAAAAGGAAGGACTTACTGATAAAAGAAAGGATTGGCACCTTGAGGGTGGGGGGAAGGACACAACCATTGAAGATAGCTGGCACTTGCTCTGCTCAACTGAAATCTAGTCATTCCCAGCACTGCTGGAGTTTTGCTTTTTTTTTTTTTTTATAATTTGAATTTAGGACAGTGTTCTGTACTGCTATAAATGCTGCGTGGCCTAAATTAGCCTTTTTTTTTTTAAACTAAGCAAATTGGAATTAATTTTTTGGTGAACTATGACAAATTTGAACTTCTCTTTAAT